CTGAAATTTGCCTTCCCTCGTGCCCTTCTATCTCTCCCCTGGCTCCTACTCCCGCCAGCCATGTAGGTGACATTCAATAAAACTCATGAGCAACAGTGCAGTGAAATGTGCAGTGCTTTATTAGAGAAGAATGAATGAAGATTCTGCAGAGGGACAGAGTGAAGGCAAATTTCAGACCATGCTGAGGGGCAGAGCTGGAGCAGAGAGGCTACAACGCACCTTCTGCGTTGTAGGTGTAGGCTCAGCACCGACAGGCAGGGAAGGTGCCAACTGCCCTGAGCCCAAGGTGTCTGGGGCCTGGGCAGTGAGGAGCCTAGTGATGCAGAAAGCGAAGCATCTAGGGGATGGGAGGGACCGGCCGCATGTAGGAGAAGGGCGATGGCACCACTCAGAATTTGGTGTAGGTGCGCTGGCTGCTGCTGCTAGTGGTCTGGATAATCCTGGCTGAGGAAGAGGAGGCGCTGCTGCCTCTGGAACTCTGGCCCATGGGGACTTGCTTGCTGGTAGACTGCATGCTCTGGCCTCCAGTTGTGCTCTGCCCGCCAGTCACACTCTGGCCCCCACGACTGGAACTGCCAGAGCCACTGTCCCTGCCATTGCGGCTAGCAGCTCCAGATCCAATGGTGCTGGTCTTATGAACCACCGCTGCAAGGAGAGCACCCGTCACTCTCTGCTAAAATGGTGCAAGGTGATGAGGGGCAGACAGGAGTGTGGGGCAGAGTGGGTAAGCTGCAGGCGCTGGGGCTGAGAGGTGGGGAGTGAAAGGGGCCCGGGGGAAGGATGGTTCCTGAGGGGGAAGGGTATGGGAAACTAAGGGGCCACAGTAGGTGGGGAGAGGTGAGTTCAGAGGCACTCCTCTGGGGGAATAGCAACAGATACACTTTTCTCTTCGTCCATCTCCAGTGGCGGGAATGTGGGATGCTCAGTAACACCTTTGTTTTATAAGACCCATTTTCCTTGTCTAAGAGAAACTTTGGGTGCTTCCACTCCAGCCTCAGGGAAGTAATTATGTGATCCCACTAGCAATGATGTTAACCCAACCTCAGGGAGAAACACGACAGGTACTTACAGATGCACACAGAGCTCGGGCACTCTCCAGACATCCTATTGTAGAAGGGGAAGGAAAACACAAATTACAGAAACCTAGGGCCACCTGTCACTCCAAACCTTACTGTTAGGAAACACTGCAAAGATTATCTAGTCCAATTTGCTTTAAAGATGAGAAACATGAGGCTCAGTGGGAATAGAACCTGTCAAAATCACATAGTGAGAACAGATAAGCCCCAAACCATCATGCAGCAATAGATATGGCTCCCGGCCCGGTGCCCCTTCCATGGCTCAGTCACTGTCTGTCCAGACAACACAAACTACAGCAGCCTGATTGAAGTCAGACCACAAGAGAAACTTCCTAAACAATCATGGAAAACTAGAACAGGGAATCAGAGAAGAGCAGTGAGGCCGAGGGCGAGGTGAGTTTCATGATGCCTCAGTGGGAGGAGAATGGGGCTCCAATGCATGCCTCCTTTGATGCCCTGATGGTAGCTGCTCTGAAACATGATGCCGATAACAGAGTATGCCCTTACTGTGCTGTGGGAAGAAACTGACAGGAGCAGGGTGGATCGAAAACAAAAAGACACAAAACTGTTAGTTGCCTTTTGGATCCAAGCCTATTCATTTCAAGTAAAATGCCTGCCCAGATGTGTTCTACTGCTAGAAATTCAAAGCACGTTGCATTCTTTAAAGGAGCTAGGAGACCAGAAGAGTGCTGAGCCCTTGTCTGTCCTCTGCTTTGCATGGGGGCACCAGGGACATGACAGGAAAGGCATGGGCATGTGCAGCCTGGCTCACTATCACTATGGATCTAACTGAGGACACAATGAACCTGCTGCTCAAGGCTAGCTCCCACCATGGCCAGGGTTCCCTGCTCACCTGCACTCCTCGCCCTCCAGCAGCTTGCGGTAGGTGGCGATCTCCACGTCAAGGGCCAGCTTAACGTTCATCAGCTCCTGGTACTCCTTCAGCAGGCGGGCCAGGTCCTCCTTGGACTGCTGAAGGGCCTCCATGAACTCTGCCACTTTGGCCTGGGCATCCTTGAGAGCCAGCTCACCCCGCTGCTCAGCATCAGTGATAGCTGTCCGCAGGTGATCCTCCTGGGGCAGGAGGAGAAAAAAGGAAGTGATCTGGTCCTCTGACTCACCTGCCACATGGCAGGTGAGCACTGGTCCCCATTTGTCTGTCCTTTCCCTGCCCCTCTCCAGCCCTACTGAAAACGGAAAGGAATATCTTATTGGGAAGTGACCTTGAGATTTTGAGTGATGTGGTTTCAGCGTGGGGAAGAAGAACCCTGTGGACTCCAGGACAGAGGCACACAGCAGTGAGTGAAGGGGCAGAGGAGCCACCCCTGACGACTGAACCAGACGGCTACTGCTTCCCTCACACTCACCCTCTGCTCTGCCCAGGCACCAGGGAGACAGCAGTGAGCAGGACACTGCCCTGGGCCTGGTGCCCTTGCAGTTGAGTAGGGAAGACAGAGGAGCGGGCGTTGCACATGGCATATGGCCACGGCCATGGCACAGTCCATGGAGCCAAAAAGAGAGAAGCTAAGGAGGGGGAGGGAAGGGTTGGGCAAGAAGGAATTTTAGAAAAAAGGAAAAGTAGGAGTTTGAGAGACTGCTAAGGAGGGTGGAAAAGGACATTCCCATCATTACAAAGTGAGTATCAGAAGGATGTCTGAGGACTTATGGGAAGTGCAGCATAACAGGGCTTACAGAAGCGGTAGGTGGCGATCTCCACGTCAAGGGCCAGCTTAACGTTCATCAGCTCCTGGTACTCCTTCAGCAGGCGGGCCAGGTCCTCCTTGGACTGCTGAAGGGCCTCCATGAACTCTGCCACTTTGGCCTGGGCATCCTTGAGAGCCAGCTCACCCCGCTGCTCAGCATCAGTGATAGCTGTCCGCAGGTGATCCTCCTGGGGCAGGAGGAGAAAAAAGGAAGTGATCTGGTCCTCTGACTCACCTGCCACATGGCAGGTGAGCACTGGTCCCCATTTGTCTGTCCTTTCCCTGCCCCTCTCCAGCCCTACTGAAAACGGAAAGGAATATCTTATTGGGAAGTGACCTTGAGATTTTGAGTGATGTGGTTTCAGCGTGGGGAAGAAGAACCCTGTGGACTCCAGGACAGAGGCACACAGCAGTGAGTGAAGGGGCAGAGGAGCCACCCCTGACGACTGAACCAGACGGCTACTGCTTCCCTCACACTCACCCTCTGCTCTGCCCAGGCACCAGGGAGACAGCAGTGAGCAGGACACTGCCCTGGGCCTGGTGCCCTTGCAGTTGAGTAGGGAAGACAGAGGAGCGGGCGTTGCACATGGCATATGGCCACGGCCATGGCACAGTCCATGGAGCCAAAAAGAGAGAAGCTAAGGAGGGGGAGGGAAGGGTTGGGCAAGAAGGAATTTTAGAAAAAAGGAAAAGTAGGAGTTTGAGAGACTGCTAAGGAGGGTGGAAAAGGACATTCCCATCATTACAAAGTGAGTATCAGAAGGATGTCTGAGGACTTATGGGAAGTGCAGCATAACAGGGCTTACAGAAAAGACCACGGGTCGTAGACCACCCAGGTGTCACCCAGAGACTGTGAAGACCATTACAGGTGGAGGATGGAGTGTGCTCAGTCCCTCAAACATTTGCATGAGTGAAGGGTCAGAAAACAGTAGGGTCCCAACCCTTTACTGCCCCTCCAACTTACCAAATACCAGGGAGCAAGCCCAAGAGTCCAGGAGGGGCACTCCCCAGGGTAGGGCCAATTCCGGAAATGCTGAGCCTGCCCAGCAGCCAAAGCCCTGCCTCCCTGGCCCCTCCTCGGAGAGCTACCTGCTTCCTGGCTTTCTCAATCTCTGCCTGCAGCCTCTGGATGGCCCTGTGGAGCTCTGCGATCTCACTCTTGGTGCTCCTCAAGTCATCACTGTGCTTGCCAGCTGTGGTCTCCAGCTCCCCCAGCTAAGAGGCGGAAGGAAGAGCAAACCGTCAAGCAGGAAAGTCAGACAGGATCCAAAAGGGAAATGTAAGATCTGAACTGGGCTATGTTAAGAGCGGTGTCCATCAAGAGTGTGCCATGGAAGGAAAGCACCTGAGATCATTCTGAGTGGTTTTTCCAAACCAAAGGAACAAGAGAGGCTCTATCCTCCTGCTGGGTTTTCTATCTTTACCACTTGATGGAAATGGAGATGAGGGTGAGGACAGCAGTGATGTGATGAGGGTCATGAGCAGGGCCTCCACTCTGGGCCAAGGAAAAAAATGGCAGCTGAAGCCCAACCTGCACGTTCCTTGCCAGGCTGTGGCCCACACGGCTGCACCTCCCAGAGCAGCACTTTTTCTAACTAGCACAAAGACATTCTCTGGGCTAGCTCTGGTCCTGATGGTATTGACTGCGACAGTGACAACAGCCGGGACTGGTGAGCTCAACTGATCACCTGAACTCGCTCACATCAATCACATCGGGAGGCCGGAGGTCCTGGAGCCTGTATCTCTGCGATCCAGTTTTCAGAGGGTCCTTGGCTTTTTGCAAGAACGGTATAGGGATTGGGTGCCTGGGTGGCTGAGTCAGGCAGAAATGAAGGCCCCAGACAGAAGCTGGCTCTCCAGAATGCCTGCTCACCCACCTTGGACTGGTACAGCGCTTCGGCCTCAGTCTTGCTCTTCTGGGTGATGTCCTCGTACTGCGCCTTGACCTCGGCGATGATGCTGTCCAGGTCTAAGTGGCGGTTGTTGTCCATGGACAGGATGACGGACGTGTCATTGGATTCTGACAGGAGCTTGTTGTACTCCTACAGACACAAACCAATCCTGCTCACACCCAGGGGCAGGACCCACCGCCAACCCCCATGGTTGGCTTTTTACGATTCAGGCCAAAGTCTCAGCCAGCAGGCTAAAGAGGGAAGGCCTCTCTTTGTCCACCAACCCTAACACGGAAGTGTGCAGGGGACTCTATTTCCAGGTATTTTGATGAGGTAGGAGATTCAAAAGTTCTGGCCATCACAAATGTAGGGACACAGAAAAGGGGGAAGGACCAAAAAGAGAGAGTTTGATAGTTGTGTAGTTTTAGAGGGCCCAGGAGCTGAGTGGATGGGGTGGTAATAAATGTGAAGTAAAAAGCAAAGAATGAGAAAAAAAAAAAATAGAGCTCAGGCATATCAATCCTATCTTAAACAGTAAGAGAATGGACCGGGCCTTACAGCCTCAAAGACGGACTTCGTGAAGTTGATCTCATCTGTCCAACTCGCCACTCTGACTTCCAGGTCCACTTTGGCCATGTAGGAAGTATCCACATTCTGGAATGGGGAACACCAGGCCAGGAATCAGCATATTCCACTTGTTGCAAAGATACATTCGTCAGTAATTACAGCCTCTCTAAAAGGAAACGCAAACCACTTTTCTCCAGGTCTTTAAGCTAGAAAGTGGGGCTAAGGACTAAAAGAGTTTGCCGTGCGTGATGCCAATGCTTCACTGCAATGAGAAATGGGCATTGTGTTCCCGGGAGCGCAACGCAGTTCAGCAACTGTTGAGCTCTTACAGATTCCGAAGTGGCTCTGTCAGGAGGGGTAAGAAAGGCCTAAGAATTTCTGCCTTTGAAAGAGGGGGATCTCCTATGTCCATTTCTGCAGCCTGTAGTGTGTCCTCCTGGAAAGCATCTTAGGCTCGGAGACCCTCTATGTTTCACTCTCTCCTTCCATCACTTGATCTGCTCTCCCCGCCCCTTTGATACTGGCCTAATTACAAGGGGAGCAGAATGTGACATTTGAGAGACCAGGCTGCCAGAACTGTGCAAGTCCTGGGCATGGGACTTGGGCCCACCTCCTGAGCACCACTGTCTAACCTGGCTTTGACCACCCCTAGCCCTAACCCCAGGCCTCACTCACCTTCTTGAGAAGCACAAAGTCATTCTCAGCAGCCGCGCGCTTGTTCACCTCATCATCGTACCTGCAGGAGGGGCAACCTTGTTCAGCACAGCTGCTCCAGGGGCTGTGCTGGGAGAGAGCCCTGCCACCCAGCTCTGCCTTCCCACTCCACACTAAGCACTCCAGGCTGAGTCCCTGCAGAGGCTGAGCTAAGCAGAAATCTCTCCTGGTCACAGGGACCCGCTGAGCCCTGAATCATTCCAGTCCTTCTCGGCACTAGCGTGAGTGTTTATAATGTTGGCGATGGGCCATGTGGTGGGATCGGCCACTTCTCCAAGCCAAGAAGCCCTGATGGAGCACAGCCTCCTGTGTCCTCGGGCTGTTCCTTGTGCTCAGCCCTCTGGTTTGCCTCATTTCTCTGCCATTCTCCCACATTGAGGGTGCAAGGTCCCTGTTCCCTTCTAGCCTACAAGACTGGGAGCTCCTGAGAGCAGACCTGGGTGTCTCCACTTGAGGCCCTCACTCAGACCAGGCCCTAAAGCCATAGTCACACTGAGGTGGTCTGATACCCCAGCAGCTGTGGATGCAAGGACCCTGAGCTCCTGGGAACAGCTGTAGCCTCAGCACCTAACTCAGGGCCAGGAGAGCAAAGGCACTTGATACACTTATTATCACAGCCCTTTGAGTTAATACAACTTTTACTATAATGAAATAATGGTTCTTAATCATCTATTTGGTTACTGGGCCATTATATTATTCATTAATAACAATGTGTCACTGTTTGGCAGGCACTTTGTGAAAAGTTCAGCATATGGTAAATCCTTTAACAACAAACCTCTGAGGTGGGAACGCATGACCATTCTACAAAGGGGAAAACCGAGCACAGGTGGTTAAATAAATTACCCAGGACTGTACATCTAGAAAGTGACACAGTCCAGCTGAAACCCAGCAGGCTGGCTCAGAGTGCATGCTCCTCACATAGTGCTATGAGGACAATCCACCAATGAGCACAGAAGAAGCTTCCTGATTCCTGGTGTCCCTGTTCTCTGACTATGGTCCATAGAGCCAGACGATCCTCATGTCTGGGCATTGCACACCACTTCCCACCTCCTCCTGTCCTCCTCCATACCACCTGACCCACAACACAGCCACCCGGGCATGAGCAGCTGCCCCCCAGGTCCCTCCACCACTCACCTCCTCTTGTACTCCTCCACCAGCCCCTGCATCGTGCCCAGCTCCCCGTCCAGCCGGCCCCGCTCTGCCACCAGCCTGTCCAGGTGGGCCTGCAGGCAGCCGATGTAGGACTCAAAGAAGGGCTGCAGGTCATTGGCGCTGGCCTTGGAAGTGGCCGTCTGCTCCTGCAGGAGGCACCACTTGGTCTCCAGCACCTTGTTCTGCTGCTCCAGGAACCGCACCTGTGAGCATCCACCCAGGAGAGGTCATGGTCTGCCCAGATCCAGCTGGAGAGCGAGCCTGCCTCCCCTACAGCCCCACCAAACCCAGGCCTCCCTGTTCCCAGGCCCCAGTCACTGCAGCTCTCACGGCCACCACCTCCCCCAACCACAGACGCTCGCCTTGTCGATGAAGGAGGCAAATTTGTTGTTGAGGCTCTTGATCTGCTCCTTCTCCTGCGTCTTCAGCTCCCCAATCTGGGGGTCAATCCCCATGTTCAGGGGTTGCAGGAGGCTCTGGTTGATGGTCACCTCCTGGATGCCAAGGGGAAAGCCCCCAGAGCATCCAAAGCCCCCGGCCCCACCGGGAACTCCTCCAAAGCCACCAGGTCTCCCTCCAACATGGAAGGAGCCTCCCCCAAAGCCGCTTCTCTGGCCCCTTCCTCCAGCCCAGCCCAAGCTCCCTCCAAAGGCACCAGAGCACCCCCGTGCCGAGCCCCCTGCCTGGGCGGCACCTCCAGCCACACTCAGTGAGATCTTCTTGCTCCCCCCAAGGCTGTACATGCTCCTGCTGCCCAAGGCACCCCCAATCATGGCACAGGCCATGGCCGCACTGCTTGCCCCAGAGCGTGAGCCCGACTGGGACCTGGTGGAGCTGGCACAGCCCTGCCCAGCCACCACGACGGCAGAGAGGCCACTGGAGCTCTTGGTGGCCTGGGAGGCCCTGCCGGATTGCTGGCTCATCATGGTCTCTGGATGCAGGAAGATGTGCGAGGTCAGAAAGCTGTGAGGAAAGGGCACCTTCTGACACCGGGAGAGGGGAGGCCCCTTTTATGAGTGCCGGTGATTTGGGTCATTAATTTGATGATTTCTTGAGCTTAATTTTCTAGCCAAAATAGGTCAGTGCTTCAAATCCCAAACACACCTTAGCCTTAATCCTGGAGTCACCGGTTGCTTTGATTTTCTCCGACCGTGGTCTTATTTTGCTTTCACCATATTCAAGGAAGAAAAATACTTATACTCCCCTTAGATGAATGGGTTGCTTCCTAGGGGGAACCACCCCCAAACTTCAAGGCATCTGCTGTAATTAGGGATTTTCCATGCTTCTCCTCTTTTCAGTACCTGGGTCATTGGCTTCTGTCAGTCACTTCCCAACTCTAAAGAACTAAAGAGACTCACAGGAAATTCTGTCTCTGGAAATTGTGTAGAATACAGTCTTTCTTAGAGGAACCCCCTTCAACTCTCCCAGGAACCTCATCCTCTGGAGCAAGGAGACCTCAAGATGTTGGGGTCACCCAGAGACTCACATGAAGTCCTCTCTCTCTCTCTTTATGGGCAATCTCAGGCTGCTAGAGCAGAACTCTGAGTATATGGGGCTTTGTCTCAACCCCCTCATGCTTGCATGGTTCAGAGTGAAGCTTAACCCCCATCTGGACCATGAAATGAATGCACTTCACATTCCAGGGCTCTCACCAAGGACAAATCCCTCGTGCTGGGCTGAGAGAGCACATGGACTTCTGCAGGGGATGACAGGAAAAGAGGAAGCTAAAATGTCCCACTAAAGCTTATGCTTCCACATGTGGGGCATGGACACACACATGCCTGGTGTGTTTCTCAAGCCATTGGGGCCAGGACTTGAATTGCAGTTGGCCATTTGGACTCTGGTTCCCTTAACCACTAGGCTCCAGGGTCAGCCCCAAAACATCCCTTTTTCTTTGTTATCCTTTATTTAAATGCATTTGTTTCCAATAAACTTCAGAGAATTTCTCTGTAATCCATTTTGCATCCTGAATCCAAATGTTCTTCCTAAAGCACAGATCAGAGGTGATCTGCTCCAGGATCAGCACAGGCCCTGAACATGGGCACCCTGAACGAGGCGTGGGAGGCTACATGTGCTAATTACAGCCTCCAAGAACATTCTTTTGGGAAAGTTTCTCTCTCCTGCCAGAGTCATTTGTCATGCTCAACTCAAGTGTATTAGAAAAGCAGCCAAGTCCTCGTTTTCATATAATTGATGAGAGAAGAGGCTTAAATGATATCGAGCAGCCACTCAGCCTGGCTTGGGGCCACCCACACCCACACCAGTCCCCAGTCCCTGGTTGCCAGTTCCCCAGTCCTTCATCCTTCTCTCTAGCTTGGTCCTCTGTATGCAACCTGGCATCCCCTGGGGTGGGAATAGCAAGCAACAAAGGGTGAGAGAGAGGTTCTGGCGTGAACCCCATGCCCTGTTGCAGGTAACAGCTGGAATCCCACATGGGTAATGATGAGAACACAGGCGAACGTTCCAGTCCTCCATCTCCTGCAAACAAGGCAAGGCCAGCACTGCCCCTGACTCGGTGCATTGTAGGCTGCATGTTAGGAAAAACTTCTGAGGACCAGACTCTGGGAGGGAGTGCTGAAAAAGACTTTGCAAGGCTGCTCTACTTATTTCATGACATTCCAGGAAACCTGAACTGAAATAGCCAGACCCTCCAGCAGGGGCTGGATAGAAGTGTCCAGATAGAAGAAGCAGTTCAGTGTCAGGTACCACTAGAAAGGATCTCTGTGCATATCCACAGAGAAGATGAATTCTGGGGCAAGTGACACCATGGCTTGTTTATGAAATGACAAGAAATTTAATGTAACGTAGTACAGGATTTGAGAAAGAAGAGACCAAAGAGGTCCATGAGGGACCTGATCTGCATGTTAGGAATTTGGGCTTTATAGGCACTGGGAATCCACCAAAGGATTTTGAGCAAAGGAAAGATATAATATGATCTGTGTTTTAGGAAGAACATTTGGATTCAGGATGCAAAATAGATTACAGAGAGGTTCTTTGAAGTTTATTGAAAATAAACATATTTAAATACAGGATATCAAAGAAAAAGGGATATTTTGAGGCTGACCCTGGAGCCTAGTGGTTAAGGGAGTTGGAGCCCACATAGCCAACGACAGTACAA